ATCTACATTATTGATTTACATAATTCGTATTATGCTACTAAATAAATAAATACTAATAAATAAATATACTAAATATAATAAAATATACTAAATAACTATACTAATAAAATAAATACAAATAAGAATAAAAAAAAATAAAATAATAAGAAATTATGGAAGTGGAGGAAACCCATTATAACATCGTCACTAAGAAGTATAATAAATTGCTGAGGTTCAGTAGGTTGTGATGAAGTTCTACTACTTTCAGCAAATGTTTCTCTTTGTGGGTAGGTTACTTGTGAAAGATTTAGGACAGGAGTTTGAGTAGTAGGAAAATAAGTTAGGGTTGAAGGTTCTTCGTACGGTTGCTGTGATTGCTGCAGCTCACAGTGATATAGTAATTGGGGTTAGGTTTCAGGAGTTTTTTCACTATAATTTTCTTCAGAAAAAATATGTGCAGGGTTATACTCTTCTTCCTCATTATAATTAAAAGCCTGGAGGGTTTCTTGAATAGATGTAAATTCAAATAGGTTTGAGATTTCTAATGGGGGTAATTGTGATAATGTAGTTAATTTTGATTGAACTTCTTGTAATCGTCTCTGGACAAGTTCTTGAGTGACTTGAGTGCAAACTTGGTTTAATTCTTCCTCTAAAAGTCAGGTTAAGTTGAGGAAATAACAATAAGACTCAAAATCTTGGGAATTAGGATCTCCTTCAGATGAAACATTTTGTAGGTAATATTTGTGCCGGCTTCTACATAGGTGTAATTTAGCTTCAGCAAAAAGTTGATCAGACTTAGAGTTTTCAGAGGTTGTATCTTCATCTGAAGTAGGTTGGTTGTCTTCTGGGTTATTATTATTATTATCAACAAAGTTAAAGAATCTGGATATAAGCTAGTAATATATTATTTCGTGAATTACTATGCACAAAGAAAATATTATTGTGCGATGGAATGGCAAAATTAATATATTATAGGTTGGAATTTTTATTCAGCTGGTTCTGAATAACAAAAATCTGGGTTGGGTTGAGTTTACTTAGCTATAACTAAGCAAAGAAAAACAAAGGTTAGGTTTGTTCAAGCAGAGAGTTAACAAAAAGGTTGAGTTGAAAAAATGTCCACTGCTACCAAATGTAATGAATCTACTAATTCGTTTTAGAAAATAAATATCAACAAATATTTATTAGCAAAGTTTGTAGTTTATAATTAAATTATTTTACAAGACTTGCTTGTTCTTTATTAATCATATGTTATATTTATATAAAAATACATAATTAGTATTACATAATATAAATATATAATAAATAGTATCTTAGGTCCTACAAGACCAATTCGGATGGTTACATGTGATAATTAATAAATAAAAATGTAATAAAGGAAATAAAATAAAATAAGATAAATGATTAACACATGGGATTACAAATCTATTGTATATCAAAGCTAATCACATATGCTATCATTCATTATCAAAATATGAAGATAAAAATATAAATAATAAAAGAGAAAATAAAATAATAAAATAAAAGTAAAATAAAACAAATGAAATGGGTAAGAGCTGTCACTCATCAACTACATAAGCTACGACATAGTCGAAACTGTTACACTTGCATTGTTACTTATATAAAATGAATCTTAAGATCTTGTATTAAAGTGTTTGTCTCACTTTTACCAGTATTTATATTTAGTCTGGTAGATTTCATTCATTTTGACAACTTGATATATTATTTTGCAAGGTTTCAGAAAAATATTTCTGCTAATCCTTTAAAACTTTTATCCAGTTTGGAAATTTTCACTTGTTAATCTTTGTTGATTTGAAAGAATTTTATTATACTAATGACTATTTTAATGCTTACGTTATCAAATTGTTAAATAAAGAAAATAAATTTTGTATAAAAATAACAACTATAATAAAGAATAATATATTTTTAAATTCTTTTGTAATTAAAGAACAATGTCAAAAATTGCTTTGATTATCTTTTCTAAAAATATAAATTTAATATTTTAAATATATATTTTACTAAATTTGTCAAATAATTAAAAATTAATAGAATAGGTGTGCCAGTTATTATATCCTACTGTATTAATAACTTTATACACCTCACAGGAGACACTAAATTCTGTTACAAATGTGTAGAATATTATATATACTTTTTCTATCAGTCTCAGAGTTTGTCACTAGTCAAATACAAAAGAATTACTGTACTAAATGGTAATTCCTATACTATAAATCAGCTAAAAATCTGTAACAATTGACTGTCCTATTGTTTCCTATATTATAATCAGCTAAAATCGGAATTCCTTTTCAGTATGGCATATCTTTTGTATTTGACCTGAGTGTATTACACAAATATATTTTCAATAGGTTCCATCTGTCAGTAAGTCAAGTAATCCATTGATCTAAACTTGTCTATCTCAAAACAGATGATAAATATAATATAATTCTTTTAAATCTTTTAATTCTTTATTTTTAATCTGAAGGCTCAGTAAGTAAGGTGGAGTAAAAGTGTAACACAGTATAAATAATATTTAACAATATTTCACAATATTGCAACACAAAGATAAGTTTATTAAAAATATAAAGGGTACAATTTAAAAGTAAAGTGTTATTTAATAACAGAAATATTACAGGCTATGTGTCTATTTTAATGTCCCTACATCAGAAATTGAATAAAAACATTCTACAACACTATTCAGATGCCATTCTGTAGCATTATTTAAATGGCACTAACGTACTAGAATGCAACATTCTAGTGCATTATTTGAATATTTTGTACTTATAGTATACTAAAACACAATGTTCTAGTGCATTATTTGAACATTTCATATTTACAGCATACTAGAACACAATGTTCTAGTGTGTTATTTGAATGTTTCATATTTATAGCATACTAAAATACAATGGTCTAGTGCATTATTTGAACATTTTGTACTTATAACATACTCTATATAATTCCTGATGTAAAGGAAGTTTACTTTCTATCTAATGTTTCTTATTAAGGTTTGAATTTATTGGAATTATCTGAAGACTAATTTAAGTCTATTAAAAAGACTACTGTTTCTTGTCTCTAATATACGTGTTGCCCAAATCCCAAATCATTTGGGATTTGGATGCCAAAATTCCAAATTACTAGTATTTGGGATTTGGGATTTGGGATTTCGGCAAAAAATACTAATCATAATTTGGGATTTGGGATTTGGGATTTCAGCATTTGGGATTTTGGCATTTGGATTTTGAATTTGGGTGGCAGGTATAGTTTCTAACAAGCACTTCTTTTATACTTTTTCACCTTCATTCAATTTTTACCTGTCATACTTTATACTTCTTCCTTCATCTTTGTATGTTATCCTTCATCCTTGTGTGTCATTCTTCATCCTCGCATGTTATCTTTTGGATGGTCACACAAATTATCATTCTTGTACAGTCATCTTAGTGTTACCATTTATCATGTCCATGATAATTTGTAAGATTACTAATTTATTCTGCCACACTAGAATTCATCAATATTATCTAAATGAAAATAATGAAAATAATGATGATAAAATATATATAATTGAAATTTATTAGTTATTATATGAGAAATGATTCTTTCAATTCATCAGTTCTTTTTCAAAATTTGGCTAATTCTCAGGTTTTAGGAGATTTGAAAAATTGAGAAGTCAACTTGTATAAATTGTTTGCAGAAATGTTTTATAATTAAGTGGAGTAGTTCTATTATATTCATTTTTTGATTTTGGTAAAATTTTTCAGCTTCTTTAAATTGAATTGTGCTTTCATTGTTATTTTTGTAGTAAAATAATCAAGTAGTATTCATAAAACTCATCAAATAATTCTTGAAAAATATGTTGATGTGATATGTTATTTGAGCATCACCACAATCCATTACAATTTTCAAATTTCACTCATCACCAAGTGGCACATCAGAATATTATTGAAAGCCAGACATCAACTACTTTAATATTCTTCCCTACCTGATATTTCAGGAGCTATATATGGTAATACTCCAAAAACAGTTCTTTATTGGGAGGATTTTTTTTCTGTAATTAACTTTCTTGGCCCAAAATTCGTAATATAGAAAGTTGGCTCTTTACTTTCCCACGAATTTTTAGCATTTCTGGTACTTGTTTCGTTAAAGATACATGTGTTTACGGCAAATAAAATATCTATAGAAGTGACATTATACTCACCATGAATCTTATTATTTAGGAAACGCAAAATGAGAAATATTAGTAGTTGTTACTATTAATCTCAACTGTCTTTATATGCCTATTAATGGATTCGATGGGTTGCCATATCATCTTCGTATAATTCCTATTACTACTGCAGCAACCGTTGGTACGCTCTTGAATCGAATTCAATCCCTAATGCCAAATGGATTAACTAGCATTAATTATCGGGTTCGCATATTTTGTCCTGGACTTATAGTATATGCAAATTTACCACCAAGGGGTTGGAATATTAGTTCTTATTTTGATGAGAATTTCGACAATAATATTATTCATATTCTCGTAGAACCTCTGCAAGAACCAGAAGAAATTAATTAGAAATTTTTTTCGTGCATAGCTGAGGGAAAACCTCGTAATGTCGAAATCGGTTACCTTCAGAATATCATGTAACTTGAGAGTGCGTGCCACACAAATAAGAAAAAACGTACGGCGGCTCAAGCTTTTCAGATGGCGATTATGACTATCTTTATAGAATATTCTCTACATGTATTGATAGATTCTAGTGTCCCAATCACGCCCACAATATAATTTTTGACTGTGCCAGCCCTGCTGATTTTCAAATGTATTTATTTTTTAGCAACGGAATGGCATTTCATCGCTTTTGCCACTGATGGTCTTTATTGCACCAGTAAAAGCGAATATCAAATTAATTTATCCAAAGCAGCATTGAAAGAAGATCTTGAATCAATTCGATTAAACAGGTGTTGGGTGTCATCAAAGGACCGAATTAGTGTCAATAATTCTCCAGCCAGTAAAAGAGCTCGAATCAAAAAATTTACAAGAGAATAGGGTATCTAGACAGTTTCACATATTTTCATGTATACAGCAATAACTGTATTATTTTTTATTAATTCATCATGTATCCGACACCTATGTGTTTTATATTTTATTTGTAACAATAAAAAAAAAATTTTCGAGAATTTGTTTGCTGAAATTTCACAGACCCGATATAGGAAATATATAATTAATATATACTGTAGAAACGTGATAAAACAAGATAATTTCAGAAAAACCGGATCCGCGTGTCCGGGCGCAGTAATCAGGTTCGAAAATAAATAGCTATTTTATCCACGTATAGTCATGCTCATGTATTTTATTTAAAAAAAATAGATGTAACTTTACTTTTGTAATGTTTCTTCCAATTTCTTTATCAACGCTTCTTTCAAACTGTGATACATTGGCACCTTTTAAACAAGTTCATAACGTTTGGGCCCGGAGGAAATAATACAACGCTTTTGCGGAAATATCGTAAAAAAATTTTAGTCGCACAGGCATGCATGTTGTATGATGATCAATAATTTTCATGAATAAATTAGTGATTCTGACTTTGAAAATCAAAGGTTATTTTATATACAGTTAACTTCATAAAAGTGCGGTAGTATTCTTTTTGTCCTTTTAAGATTCTATTTTGCGTTTGGTTAACACTAAGGATGACTGAAACAGCAGACCAAGTACTAAGTCATGTCGTTCCGGTTTGCCAATGGGCCCCACAAAATTCACTTGATTCAAGTTCAACAGCGTCTGCTTACCCACTATTTCCAGATGACGTAAGGGAATGGATTCAATTCTTTCGAGGTGTCAGACTTACTAGAATACAGTATCCCCTTCCAGGGGGACAATTCCCCGTATTCCCAACAATTACAGAACCACTAGAAATTGAAAAAGACGCAGAAGATCGTTTTAAATCCAATGTTTTATCGCCAGTTGATGCAATACTAGAAACACAAGGAGCAATATTTTACCGTAGATGTCCTGGCTGTTGGGCGTTCCCGATTTCGTTTTACGTACTAATAATTCCACAGTTGCTAAGATGCCTGTGGAAATGAAAACGCGATTCAATCTGAATTTATGTGGTCATCATCTCTGGACAATTTATCGACGTGCCCAACGTAATCAAATAATGATAGCGGATCATAATTTTAAATTTAAGAAAAAGATCTTATCGCAGATGTTTGGCGCAATGGCCTGTAATGGTCTTCATTATGGCATATTATCGAATTATAACGATACATACTTTTTCAAGAGAGAAGAAACAAATCAAACCACTTTGTATGTTTCCCGTGTCGTTAAACCTAATGATGCCAATCCGACTTTACGCGAATGCGTTTATTATATCAGCAACTTGCTATTAATGATAATGCCGGTGAAAGATTGAATCGTATAAAAAGTGATAATAATTCATCTAATGGCTTTGATGATGATGCTGATGACACTGATGATAGCTCTGATGATAACCCTGATGACACTAATTACACTAATGATGATTCTAACGATAATTATGATGATGACCATCCTTCGAAGAAGACGTGGAAAAGTTCAAAAAAGACTGACATTAGCAAAAAAGTAGTTGCAAGTTCTTCTAAGAGGATTACTACTATAGATAAATACATAGGCAGAGGAACCTTTGGAAATGTTTTTTCTGGCTATTATCATGGTCAAGCTGTGGCCTGGAAAACCTGTGAGGCATATAAGGAAAAAGAAGCAAAAAAAACGTTAAGAATTGAAACAAATATGTACTCGATTTTAAGGAATGCCAAGGTATAGACACTCTTTTTTCTTTTATAATATTTTATTGATATTAACTTGTTACATGCAATAATAATATTAGGAAACACTATTCCACAGTTATTATATGAAGGTTACATCTATGATGGGTATCTTTATGCATTGGTATTACAATTGATTGAGGATGCTCGTCATATTGACCCAGAAAATCTTACGGTGGGAGAAAAGAGAACAATTGTCCAACAACTTGAAACGATACATAGTTATGGCGTTTTACACAATGATATTGCTCAAAGGAATATCCTTATGGAGCCAAAAAGTCGTCGATTCTTTTTTATAGATTTCGGTCTAAGTGAGTTTGTCGGTGCCGAATCAAAAAAATTATACAAGGAGAAAAATAAGTTAAAAAAATTGCTACAAATTTGACTATATAAATTTCATCATATTTTACAATATAAAGTGGCGGATGTTTAACCTCTTTCTACACCACGAGATGATTTTTCATGTATAGATGTTCTGTATTTTATCATATATTTTAATATCCAATTTCTAATAGATCCATCGATCCACCCAACATAATAAATAGTACCAAAATCAACTTTTATTATTTCTCTAATACATAGAAATCTATCACAAGGTAACCAAAATACAAGTTAGTTTGTAATTAAGATTTTTTTTATTAAATAAAATAAAATATAGGCTGAAGTGTTAAAATTTTATAAAATACAAATAATCTTTTGACTACGGATTAATTTAATTGAATTTTTAAAAAATATTAATGCAATAAAAATAAAAATAATAATAAAATGAAAAATATTTATAATATTTAGAATTCATTGATATCATCATCTAGACAAAAATAAATTAATATAATTAATCAGGAAATTAAAATGATACAATATAATAATATGTATAATTGAAACTTACTAGTAATTATATGAGAAAAAGATTCAGTTAATTCTTCAAGTTCTTTTTCAAAATTTTCTTCATTCTTAGGTTTTGGAAGATTTGAAAAATTGAGAAGTCTACTAGTATAAATTGCTTGTGGATGTGTTTTATAATTTGTTGGAATTGTAGTTGTATCATTTGTTGTTTGTTTTGTGGATAATTCTTCAAATTTTTTAATTTGAATTGTAATTTATTATTATTTCTATACTCATTTTCTCGATAACCATTTTTGTATTTACCCATCTCTCTAAATAATTCATGAAAAGTGGGCCGATGTGAGATTCGAGCATCCCAACATCGCATAATCACTTGTGTAATTAATTTGGGAATGTGAAATGGAATTTTTGGTCTTAATCCATTACATATTTTCAAAGCTAATTTATCATCATGAGCCACATCAGAATATGGTTGAAAACTGGTTACTATTTCATAGGCAATAATTGCAAATGAATAAACATCTGCAGCCTTGTTATGTTCTTCCCCACCTGATATTTTGATTTTTCCCAATTAATTTACTCAACCCAAAATCTGAAATACATAAAGGGAAAACCTTCAAAACTATATGATAAAATATTTCCAGGGAGGAAATCATGATGAATTATATCTAATTCATGAATTAATTTAAAACCTGATGCCAAAGAATATAAATAACGTAATTTCTTTTCCCAATTAACAATATTTAAATTATTATTTAAAAAATTTCGAAGATTTCCATCTGTCACATAAACAAAAACCATTACATATTTGTGAGTTTCTGGATCTTTTGTAATTCCATAAAAACGAATTAATGAACCTTTATCCATTATTCTCAAGTTAATTGCCATCTAAATTAAATTTTTTTTTAAAATATAATTAGTATATTATATATATATATTAAATAAAATTTCATATTAATTTAAAATATTATTTTACCTCATTTAAGAAATCTATTAATATATCCAATGTCTTTTCCATTGTTGACCTTTAATATCCCAATCATAAATATCTCCATAGATCCACTCAGCATAATAAATAATACCGAAACCACCTTTTGCGATTTCTTTAATACCTTCAAATTTATCATAAGATATCCATTCTATTACTTTCATTCTAGTATTAGCGTTTAATTGAGCATTTTGAATTAATTTATCTATTGTTTCATTTCCATTTGTCAATTTATCAAAATCATTTTTTAAACATATTGAGTTGTACGGTTTGCACCACGCACCATTATATTTTTGATTGCATTCTTCACATATACAAACCATTTTCTGTCCACCTATAGTATGAAAGGTAGAAATTTTTTTTTAATAAATAAATTTATAGCCGGATCTACGTTTCGAAGAAAATTGCTTTGATGAATGAATAGGTTATTTTATTATGCAAAATAATGGAACTGAGTAATAGCAGCATTATTATGTAATGTAACCTCGGGCTTCGGAGGCCAACTCTGTGCGACCAATTGTCATACATTTTTTGTGAAGGGGAAAATTGTGAAACAATTCAAGATTTCGAATAAGAAAAATAGAAAACAAAAAATAAAAAAAAATAAAAGAATAAAAAAATAAAAAAAATAAAAATATAAAAAAAATATATATAAAATATAAAAAATGAAAATAAAAACATCACTTTTTTATTATACAGTTTTTATTTATATATTTATATTACACCTACCGAAATATTGATTTTTTTTTTTTACAGATTTTATTTTATAAATCTTCTCTAAATTATAATCATAAAGGTAATTAGTGAAATATATATAAAAAATAATTTATAAAATATAGTATCTATAAAAAAATATATTTTCTAATAATAATAATAATAATAATAATAATAATATAATTAATAATAATAATTTATAATTTTACAAACTATATAAAATATAAATAATAAACAAATATAATATATGTATATATATGTTAATATTTTGAATAAAGTATAATATAGTAAAAAAAAATAAAATATATGTACAAAATAAGCACTATGACAAACTGTTTACGATCATTAGTTTGAATTATTTTTTTTCTAACTTATTTTTCTAATTAATACTTTTTTCTCTAATGAATTAACTAATATTATCTAATTAATTAATTAAGATTTTCTAGTTAACACCAAGGCTTTACTATAAATCAAATTAGTTCTTATATCAAATATAGCTGGGAAATAACAAATTTCTGTTGTATTCGTTGTTATTAAAGAAGAAGTATTTGATGTTAATGTTGTTGATTTTCCTTTCTTTCTTATTGATATACTATTATTATTATTATCAGTATTTATACTATTACTTCCTATTATATTATCTTTCTCGTTATTATTATTATTATTATTATTATTACTGATTGTGTTATTTATCTTATCACTATTATCTTTCATATACATGACATCAACACCGGATCCTTTAGGGTAATAACGAATTTGAGGTATAGGATCTAATGATTTTAATTTAAACCACATAATTGAAATAAATTCTTCGATAATCCTTTTTGCATTATTTTCTATTTTGAATATTTTTTCTGGTGGTTGATGAATTGTTCGATATTGATCTAAAAAGTTTATCAGTTGTTGGGTAAGTGATGATACTAAGGGATGATGTGTACAATTGCTATTATTATTATTATTATCATTAATGCAATTATTATTTGAAGATGAGGAGGATGATGATGATGATGATGATGACGACGTTGATGTTGTTGTTTTCGTTGTTGGACAATTATTTTTAGAGGGATTTTTAGAGAACGCATATTCACTTAACATTTCATATATTATCCTTTTAATTTCTTTAGGTACATTTCTAATTGATTCTTCATTATTCGTTCTTACTTGTATAAATTTCTTTAATAACAATAATAATTTATCAGTGGTATCAACGATATCTAATTCTAAATTATCATCATCATAATCTTTCATAAGTTTATTATTATTCAAATCCATTGATGTTATTGTTGAAGTGGGTGATGAAATTGAATCTGTTGTTGAAGGTATTGATGTTGTTGAAATTATTGATGAAGGTAATTTTGATGATGTTATTGATGAAGTTGTAGTTAAAGTGATATTCGAGGATGAATTAGAGAAATAACCTTCTAATTGTTCATTTAATCTCGTTATAATGAAAGCTTGTAATGCGCAACTTAATCTCATTTTAGTGGTTTTAGAATCAGATTTCGAAGATGTATCTAATTGATATAATTCTAATAACGTATCGACTTGTTTTTGATCAATTTCGATTCCACTATCATTAACGTTTGTAAAATTTTGTAATAAGTTCTGAAGTTTATTTATATCATTCTTAAAATTATTATTTTTATTTCTTTCAGTAATAATTTGATGATGATATTGTTGTTTCTTGGGATTTTTTAAATTCTCTATTTTTTCTTCATATTCTCGACATTTTTGTTTTAATTTATTTAATTCACGATCTTGACGTTTTAATAAATCTGTATATGTTTCATTCTCACTTTTTGTATTATTATTATGAGTAGCAATAGTTTTAGTAGTATCAATAGCATTTGTAGTAGAATTCGTTATACTACTTTCAAAACTTTTTCTTCTTGATGATGAAATATTATTATTATCGTCAACTGTAATCGTTAAAGATGAAGATCGAGTATGATCATTAAAAGATTTACGAAGTTGTTTTTGATCTTCTAATATATCGGTAATTTTGGATTGTTCTATTCTAAGACGACCTAATTGACTTTGTAAAAGAACTAATTCGGTTTTTAATCCTTCATCATTATATCGTCTAATGTTATCATCATCATTATTATTATTAGTATTATCATAATTATTATTAGTATTATCACTATTATTATTAGTATTATCATCACTATCACTATTATTATTATCATCATTATTATTATCACTATTATTATTGCTATCATTATTATTATTTATGTTTACTTCTTCATCTGATTCGTTTTCATTATCATCAACAATAATTGTAGGTTCTTCATCATCAACTTCAACAACATTTTGAATACTATTTAATTGTTTCGAAATAGTAATTAATAAATCATTTTTTAAAGGTTTACCATTATTAATTTCAGGTTTAGGAGGATTATTAGTTTGTAAAGAAAGGATTAATTCGTTTACAGTAGTATTTACTGTTCGCATTACTTCAATAACTTCTTTACGTTGTTCAGTTAAGTGTTCAACTAAACTTATAAGACGACGACATTCTTCTTCGTAAACGTATTTGTAATCACTTTGAAAACGACGACGAATAGTGGAAGTTGAAGTTAAATTTGAAGATGACGATGAATGACGACGAAAAATATCAAACATATTGAAATAAAAATGATTTTAAAAGAAAATGATAATGAATCGGAATAAAAAAAAAATAGTAACGATAAATAATTTTGATATAAAATTATTTTAACGAAAGAAACCTTACATGCGTTTTTATATCAATTATATATACTAGTTCATATATATAAAATATGTAAATTATATTATTAATATTTTATACATTTTATATGCACTTGATGTAATATAAAATGTAAATATAAACGATGCATAAATTATTTCTATTTAATGAACATACAATAATGCTTAATTGAAATTCTAATTGTTTTGATTTCTAATTGTGTGGGCACCAATAGAAACACTCTTGGGAATAATAAGTGCAATTAAGTGTATATGGACTAACGCGAGTGAATTTATGCGAATATCAATGCAGTAAATAAGTGCGTACCAAAAGAATAAATGTATAGAAAAAAGTGTGTGCGCGATATGAAGTATTATTAAACAATGGAAAGAAATCACATTTTTATAAAAACTCGATGTTAATCCGGATTCTGATCGCATTTGATTACATCTATTGTTCTTTCTCTTGTTTTATCCTAATTAATTAATTCATTTTTATTTATTTATTATTTTTTTACGTACAGTATTTTCTTTACTTTCCTTTTAATGTACAGTACAGCGTTTTTTTTTTAAGTCATGCTTTTTGTTAGCGTCATTAAATAGTTACAAAGATAGTTGCAAAGTCCGTTATAATAAAAGATAGTTGTTGCAAAGTTATAAAAAAGATAGTCCATAATAATGATCAACAATAACACAAACATAAGATCAAATAATAATAATAGAAATAATTGCATTTATTAATTTGAAATAATATTTACGACATTTTTATTCTATTTAATTAATTAAAATATACAAACAAACAAAAACATAAAATAAAACAGCACAAAAAAGACGCAATAAAACAATAATAAAAACGATAAAAACAATAAAAACAATAAATACAATAAATACAATAAACAATAAAATCACCTATCTATTCTATTCCTTCACTTGACGAAATTTTACCCCACAAATTAATTATCATCTCTAATTATGATCTATCTAATAATCTAGTTGAAAAAACTTGACAGCTTTTAACAAAAGTAGCGTAACGCATTATCTACATGTATAATCTATCCATTATACATTATGCGCACATTATATGCATATAACAATCTAAACAATCAAACAATCATTGTTTAAAATCATCAAATGTATCAAGATGCATGATTAGACAAAGAATTTATATGTCACGTTATCTTGTATTTTTTACGAACTGGAATAAAATTTACATTTTGAACTGAATTATTTCCAATTAAATTTGATTTTTTTTTTCCCTCGGAATACGTTAATCATAATATTATATATAAAATATAAAAATATTTTTAATAAATAAATAAATAAATCCTTATCTATATTATTACTTTTTTTACGATCAAAAAAAAAAATGAATGAAAGAATTCAAATCATATTGTTCCAGATGGAGACAAAAGAATGTAATTAGTTGCATTGAAATGAATGTAAAAATATAACTTATATGTAAAAAAATAGGTATGACCGAGTGAACAAGTTAAAAAAAACTTTAATTGACCAAATATTAGTGGATGTCAATTTTGATAATTGTATGCATAGTGCTCGCTAATACATGAAATATGTGAAATATGTAAAATACGCAAATTCACGTGTTTCGTTCTATTGTTTCAAAAACTTAAAACAGTGGTGCACACTTTTATATAATACTCTCGTAACTCGTAACCAAAAAAAATCCGATTTATTTTAACTTTGTGCCATTTTGTAAAAGAATAATTCAAATTATTTCACAAATTATAATTCTGAGTTGTACCAATAATTAAATCCTAGAATTGCCTCATCATTAAACATTCATGTAATGAGATAAAAAATATATATTTTAAATGAATAATAAAGTCACATTTTGATATTTATTAATTCGTATCAAAATAATTTTCATCGAGAAAACTAAAAAATTCAGATATAATGCTGGCTCTTAAAAAAAAAATCAATATGTAATTTACCATTTAGGAAAGACGCATACCCTTAAATGGTCACAGATCTGCCATTTTTTTTAAAAAAAAATATACTGTATACTCCTACTTTTTACTTACTATATAAGTAAATAAAAAAAAAAGTGAAATCTTATTATATACGCCAAGAATATAATGGTAATGGTGATTGGCGTAATACGTGCAAACTCAACATATGATTTTGATAAACGATAGATAAATTTGATAAATTTATTCAGGATGCTCATTATACATCGAGAGAGTAATAGAATGGGTACCTTGTGATAGATTTCAAGATATTAAAGAAATAATAAAAGTTAGTTTTTTGGCACTATTTATTATTATGTTACGCTGAGTGGGATCGATGGATATATTGAAAATTGTGATACAGTATTTGAAAAAAAATGATCAACGTGAAGTGGTATTGGAAAATTTATTTAAAAATGTTTAATATATTAAAAAAAAATAGATATATATATTATTTAGATGGCAATCATCAATCCCATTTTTTTTGTTTTTTTTTTTTTTTTTTTGAATTACAAAAGATTCAAAAACAAATATTATGATGGTTTTAGAAAAGGATTAAATCTTAGGAATTATTTAAATAATTTTAACACGTAATAACAATATTAGTTTAAATCAGAAATTTACGAAACTTCATGAATTGGATATAAAATTCATCATGACCTTCATCCTGGAAATATTTTTTTCGGATAATTTTGATAATTTTAGATTATATATTACGGATTTTGGGTTAAGCCAATTAACTGAGAAAAATCGAGAAAATCCCCAAAAGGAAAATGTTTTTGGAGTATTACCTTATATATACTCCCGAATCATTAGGTGGAAATAATATATATACAATGGCTGCTGATGAAGTCCATTCATTTGCAATTATTATATGAAAAATAATTACTTGTTTACAATGTGCCACATGATGAAGAGTTAGCTTTGAAAATGTATAATGGATTACGACTAAAATTCCATTATACGATGTTGAATCACCTGTCACGACCTACTTTTAAAGAATTATATAAATAGTCGAATAAATACTGAATGGTTACGGAATGAAGAATTTAAAATTCAAGTTAAAGAAGCCGAAGAATTTTCTAAAAGTCAAGAAACAACCGACCGATACAATAATTATAACTCTAGTTAATTACAAAACACATCCACAAGCAATTTATGCTCAATCTTTCAAATCTTCCAAAACCTAAGAATTAAGAAAATTTTGAAAAAGAACTCGAAGAATTAATGGAATCTTTTCTTATATATAATCACTAATAAATATCAATTGTATATTATTTTTTATTTATTTTTTTTTTATTTCCTGATTTATTAAATTTAATTTATTTTTTTTAGGATGATTTTAAATATTAAAAATAATTTGCATTTTATAAAATTTTAACACACACGACATGAATTAACATCATATTTCGTCCAAATTTAATTAACTTAGTTAAGATTTTTTTATATTTAATAAAATAAATATGTATTTTAACTTTATCTTTTGATTTAAATATTATTTCGAGATAACTTCTTGCTTGTTCCCCTAAATTATTTTCGAACAAATAATTTATACAAGTCGAACACGGATACTTTGTTATAGTTATAATAAAAATATTTATTCCAGAGATATATAAATGTATATAATATACAGTATTAATTAATTAATTAGAATAGAGTATTTTAATTAGAAAAGAGTATTCTTAATTAGAAAGTATAAATTAGAAAGGTTAAAGTCACGAATGGAATGTTTGGTCAGAGAAAGCGTAATATTAAGTCGCGAGTTAATGAATTGGTGAGCGAATGATCTAGAAATTCAATAAAGATCTGCTTATTCTTTATATTTTATTTGTTAGGCTATTTTTATTATTTTTTATATTTTTTTATATCCCGTTTACACAGAAAAAAATCCGATGATGACCATATGTATTTCATCTACTTTATCTATTATATATTTTATATTAGTATTATTATTTTTTAAATTATTAATATTTTTATAGATTTACTTTTATATATTGCTAATAATCATTATAATTCGGAGAATAATAAGGAATAGTAATACAATATAATTAATCTATCAGTTTATTAATTAAATTAAAATAGTCAATATATACGGTGTACTGAAATTTTTTTATGCTTTTTAAAGTACGCTCTTTATTCGTAACAGAATTATCTGAAAATATAATTTCGTGAATTGTTTCAAGATTTCCTTTTGACAAATTCACTGCACGCTGTTACTCAATTCAATATATTAGATTTGCATATTATTAATATATTTTGACTCAATTTTCTTTGAAACGTAAATTCGGCTGTCAATTTATTAATTTATTCTTTTTTTTTTTTTAAAAAAAAAAAAAAAGAAAATTTCTACCTTATAAGTGAACAAAAAATGTCTTATATATGTGAAGAATGCAATCAAGAATATAATGGTTTGTGGTGCAAACCGTGTAACTCAACACGTTTAACAAATGATTTTGGTAAATGGACAAGTGGAAATGAAACAATAGATAAATTAATTCAAGATGCCCAACTAAATGCTGGTTATAATAAAGTAATAGAATGGATGCCTTATGATAGATTTCATGGTATTAAAGAAATAGCAAAAGGTGGTTTTGGTACTATTTATTATGCTAAGTGGATCGATGGATTTATCCTAAATTGGGATATTAAAAATCAACAATGGAAAAGATGGGATCAATGTGAAGTGGTATTAAAAAAGATTGATGGTATTGGAAATATTAATGAAGAATTCTTAAATGAGGTAAAGTAACATTTTAAATAATTTGAATAATTTATTTAATTTATTTGAAAAATATATAATATACTAATTTATTTTAAAAAATATATTATTTAGTTAGCAATTCACTTGAGAACAATGGATAAAGCAAAATTAATTCGTTTTTATGGAATTACAAAAGATCCAGAAACTCACAAATATATGATGGTTTTACAATATCTAGAAGATGGAAATCT